CAAGCTTTTGGATTCCTGCTGGAGCCCACCCTTGGGGAACGTCTCTCTCCAGAATGACACTCATCCTGGAGCACAGCTTCAGGTAACTTCTCTCTCTCCAGAATGACACATTCTGGAGAGAGAGAGAAGTTCCCCAAGTATGGGCTCCAGCCGCAATCCAAAAGTTTGGAAGAATAAACCTCTGCTTCCGGTGACTGACTCAGATTGGATCCTGCAAACTAGAAGATGCTGCTTTTTTTGGAGCAGCACCAAAGTGATGGAATAGGACCTCCTTGAGACCAGAGGAAACTTTCCTGGAAACTTTAGAAAGTTATTAAAAATGGAGCTTTTTTTTTTTGAAGTTGTTTCAATAGCATCATCTACACCTCTTGTTGTTACCATTTTTCTCTCCTCCTTCCAGTTTTGATTTTGCTATTTGCGTTGTAAGTTGTTTTAACTCTGTCATATTTGTTTTCACTGGGACATCGTTAAGTGCCAAGTGTTGCGAGATTGTGGCAGGATCAAAAATGAAGAAATGAGGAAATCACACAACGCTTCAAAGGAGGCAAACAATTTGTTATGAAACCAGATTTATTAAAGTTTTTTGTACAGGAATTTTACAACTTTCGTCATGATAATCCTCAAAATATGTACATATTTACAGAGTTTCAACAGTGTTATTAACTTTCCACCTACCAAAATATACAGATTTATAGGCAGGTCCAAGGATATTTTTTTTTAAAAAAAAACTGTATCACAGATACAAATATATTAAAGCAATCACAAGAGCCTTAGTGCAATTAAGGTCAACAACTTTTCACCTCTAATTATCTTGATTTATCAAGTTAGTATTGCCAGCCATAATTCACATTTAATCTGCTCTTTGCTAACTCGGGTTTGTTTAGGGCACACACACACCATAGTTATTAAATTAGAAAAACAGAACTCAGTGACAAAACACTGCATGGGACGTACACAGAAGATGAAGCCCACTGAATCTTAGGAGCCCTTTTATTTTTTTATTTTTTTTGCAAAAGCCTTGAAATAGTATCGCATGAGATTTTAAAACCTCACTGTCACTTTTTCAGCTCTCTCTAAAGAAACTGTGGCTATTGCAGTCACTGTATGCTGCTTATTATCTGCAATGGCTTCACAGAACTACATTTCCCATTGTACCTTGAAAGATAAAGCTACATAAGTCTGCAGTGTGATCTTATCCACCATCTATGGCCTTTCACATCTAGCTAAACTACAATTCCCAGCATGCCTCATCAACAGTCATACTGGGAGTTGTTTTACTTCTTGACAGTCGCAGATTCTTACTCCTAGCCTACTACAGACAGTTTTAGAAAGGTAACCCACCTAAGTGCTTTCCCATCAAACTCTCTCTTTGTGCATTTTGCAGACACACTCATAAACCTGCCCACAACAGATTCAGCTTATTTTGGACTGTGATTATCGATAGCAAAAGAAACCAAATGTCTTCCAATTAGCACAAGCTTCTTTCAATTTTCCTGTATGGATGAGCTACAACTCAGAAACGAGATCCTGTTTTACACGAACAGGAATCGACACTAATGTCAAGGTCTTCATTATCCCCACTCAGAAGCTAATGCTTATGCAAAGTGCATTAATTATGGATCACAAATTAAAATAGGACCATCTCTTACAGCCAGAAAGAAACAACGATGCAGAAGACAGAAAGAAGGAGAGTTTTATAGATTACAGTTGGCAAAGTCAAAGGAAAACATTTTGGTATTGCTTCCTGGTTGAGCTACTGGGCAAGGAGAAAACAGAGGGAGCCAGTCTATTGCATCACCCATTTGCACAAAAAGCCAAAACACCACTGCCTTTCAGTCTACACAACGAGATACAGCTTATCTTCAACTCTCAGGTTAGGCCGCCCCACCCTCGGCTGGTGTGTTTTGTATTCGGATGTTGAGGCTGCTTAGAGAGCAACACCCAATTCCACAGATACAAGCAAGGTCAGAAACAGGCCCTTTCAGATGACTGCTTGAGAAGCATGCTTAAAATTGACCGCTTCAGCTAACATTTGGCATCCAAAGGCCAAGACTAAGCTTTGAAAGTGCGTCTGCAATGACTGGATTCTCACGATGTGCATGGATTGGATGTAGTCTTGGACAGGGATCTCCAAACTTGGCAGCTTTACGACTTGTGAAAACTTCAACTTCCAGAATGCTGTCTGAGGAATTCTGGGAGTTGAAGTCCACAAGTCTTAAAGTTGCCAAGTTTGGGGACCCCTGGTCTTGGGTTAGCACACTTGGGTGGGCAACGACAAAACCAGAGTTGGCTAGAAGTCTTTTTCTCTTTGTTTCCTGGAGCCCTTTTTTTGCTGGTGATGTCAGAGGGTGAGAACGACACCTTGGTAAGCATACATAGATCCTCCCTTGGCTAACACTTGTACTTAAGACACCAACATAAACAGTGCATTTTTGTCAAGTCATGTGCCTGCCCACATCTGTTTGACTGCTGAGTCATGGAAGAAGTTGAAAGTTGACTTCACCTTTTCTATAAAACACAGGCAGTCCTGGTCTTACGATCACAGCTGAGCCCCAAATTTCTAAGTGAGACGGTTGTTTTGCCCCCGTTTTGCAACCTTTCTTGCCACAGTTGTTAAGTGAACCACTGTGGCGGTTAAGTTCGTAACACGGTTGTTAAGTGAATCCAGCCTCCCCATTGACTTTGCTTGACCGAAGGCCACAAAAGGGGATCACATGATCCCGGGACACTGCAACCGTCATATATACAAGTCAGTTGCCAAGCGTCTTTGATTTTGATCGTGCAACTATGGCAGGGGTAGGCAACCTTGGCTCCTTTATGACTCATGGACTTCAACTCCCAGAATTCCTGAGCCAGCCATGCTGAGGGGAAAGGGAGAGGTTTCCATGCTGAGCCATGCTGGCTCAGGAATTCTGGGAGTTGAAGTCCACGAGTCATAAAAGAGCCAAGGTTGCCTACCCCTGGACTATGAGGGTGCTGCAACGGTCCTAAGTGTGAAAAAAGTCACTTTTTTTCAGTACAGTTGTTAACTTCAAACGTCACTAAATATACTAGGTCCAGGAGAACCTGTACATGTAACACACTATGGGCATGTTTCTGTCTGCTTCAAGGGTTAAAGTCTTGTGGATATTCATGAATGTAACTGCCAGAACAGCACGGAGAGTCCCTCCACTCAGAAGGCATGGAAACAATTTTAAGAGGTCCACTGAGGTTGTTATGTATGGAGAAAAACTGGAGTCATTTTTTTCTAAAAACCCGGGATATTCGTTTTAATGGTTCTGATCGTTCAGTAAAAATAACTGGAAGCTAAATACAGTTTGGCACCTTTGGGACTGACAGCACAATGCAAGGTATTGTATCTGTGGAAACTCTCCAAATGTGGCAAAGCAGACCTAAACACCCCCAACGTGTGCAAATCTCTGTATTCAGACTCAAGGCCACTGAATTCTAGATTATCACGGCTCTGCAGGTCAAAATAACAAAGATTAGCTACCGGATTTGTTCATCCCAAGCCTTCCAACGGCAGCTCTGTTGAAAGGCTAAGCAGCAGCCTGAAATCTGGATTAACCAAGTTGGGTTTCAAACTGTAAATCCAGCCTCTTAAGATCAACATGTTTCGCAAGATCAGGATACACAGCCTGTTGCCTTGAAGGTTGAAACACTCAAATTGGACTTTCTGTCGTCTAAGAAACTCAACAAAACAACTGCTGGACTCTGCCCTGAAAGATAACGATAGCCACACGAGGAAAAAGAATTATTAGAAATTATTGTCGGACTCTTATTCAACACCTCGATTTAAAAAAAAAAAAAAAGTGCCAAAAAAAAGTGTTCCAGCACTGTCCTGCCAGGCTTCATAAGAACCACCACTGCATTTCGCTCTTACATCACCAGCAAAAAGATTCTGTAATCAAAGGCCAGCTGGCGGTCCTGTCATCTCCATGATGGAAGAGCGACGGGAGAATCCGCTGGCATTTGTACCATTGCTGTAACAGTAAACTGGGCAGCAAAGCCAGGCCATGTGGATCTGAGTAAGCCCGGGGAGATCAGAGCACTCTTCTATTAAGACCAGTGTTTCTCAACCTTGGCAACTTTACGATGTGTGGACTTCAACTCCCAGAATTCTCCAGCTAGCGTTGCTAGCTGGAGAATTTTGGGAGTTGAAGTCCACACATCGTAAAGTCGCCAAGGTTGAGAAACACTGATTTAAGACGAAGAAAAGAAGGAAATTGACAAGAGGCTGCAGAACGTATACAGGCAGTGCTCAACTTACGACCACAGCTGAGCCCATTGCTAAGCAAGGCAGTTGTTAAGTTAGCCACACCTCATTTTTCAATCTTTTTTGCCATGCTGGTTAAGTGAACCCCTGCAGTTGTTAAGCAACTCCAGCTTCCCCCATTGACTTTGCATGTTGGAAGTTGGCTGGGAAGTTCATAGATGGTGACCACATGACCCCAGGATGCTGCCACCATCGTAAATACGTGCCGGTTGTCAAGCGCCCAAATTTTGACCACGTGATCGTGGGGATGCCGCAACGGTCGTAAGTGCGAGAACTGGTCATATGTTACTTTTTTTCCCGTGCTGTTGTTAACTTTGAACAGTCGCTAAACGAATGGCTGTAAGTCGAGGACTACCTGTATTGCAAATTCCAGATAAAGCCATCTGGTTTTCCCAATGAAATTCAACATTAGCTAGTTCAAAAGTTCAGCATGCTTGTGCCAGATGGCAGCGCCCCCCCCCCCTTTTCCCAGATCCCAAAGGGAGAATCCTTAGATTGAGCAAGCCAAGATCTGGAAGCTTTTGTGGACGTGGGAGAAGATAGAGACCGTCCACCTGTGGGATAAGTGCATTTGAGATCTCAATTGTCCTGAGCAGAGGAAGGCTTTCGGAAAGAGATGGATTTACAAGATGGACACACACGTGCACCGACACAAAATGGACACAAAACGCTGAATTGCAAGAGCCACGTCTCTTGTCCCCGAGGCAAAAGTGAGTAGGTGGAGCTAGCAAAAGAAAAGGCTCATATCATCGTCCTCCTTCAGTTGCTCCGGGACCACTTGATCAGAGACCCGTACATCCTGGTCGGCGTACCCAGATTCCAAAACGGCATCAAACCAAGGGTGGAGCAAAATTTCCGGAGCGGTGAGTCTTTCAGAGGGTTCTCGCCTAAGGAGACTGCGGATGAGGCACCGTGCTTTAGGAGAGACCTGGTCAGGGATGCAGAACTGTCCACGGCGGATTTTGGAAAAGAGGGCAGTAGGATCCGAGTCATGAAAGGGATACCGTCCCACCAGGAGAGTGTAAAGCATAACTCCCAAGCTCCAAACGTCAGCCGACTTCCCGGAATAGGTTCCCGTTGTGTTTAAGATTTCTGGACTGACGTACGCTGGACAGCCATGTTTGTCTGACAACGCATCATCCTCTCCTTTCATGATGTGGGTATCTTCCAGGCTTTCGAGTCTCAGCTGCCTCCTGGAGGATCAGAAGAGGACAATACCTCAGTTAGAACGCCAGAGAGGTCAATGCCATGCTCACACAGACACATGCAACGGAGTGCCACATCCACACTTCTCTCCTGCCCAAATGTTAGCCACTGCTCTGAAACAGCAACCTGCACATCAAAACACCGCTCAGATGTTCCACCTAGGGTTAATCTGCAAAGATGATAAAGTAAGGCGCATGCTATGGAGTTCACCTAAGTTCGTCAGCCCGTCTCAAGGACATTGGCACTTTTATTATAGGAGTGCGCCACTGTTGATCAAATGGCACAGTCAGAATGCTCGGGAGCACACACACACACACCTGGGCCTCGAAACATTAAACAAATGGAAATCATGGGTCAATGAGTAAAAATGCATTTCTTCTAATTCAATGACCCAATGCTATACAGGTAGCCCTTGACTTACAAAGTATTCATTTAGTGACCATTTGAAGTTACAGTGGCACTGAAAAAAAGCAAAGTATGACTGTTTTTCCACACTTATGACTCCATGGTAAGCTGATTAAAATTTTGGACGCTTGGCAACTGATATGGACTTATGACACTTGCAGTGTCCCGGGGTCATGTGATCACCTTTGGCGACCTTGTCAAGCAAAGTCAATGGAGAAGCCAGATTCAATTAAAACCATGTTACTAACTCAACAACTGCAGTGTTAACAACTGTGCCAAGAAAGTTCACAAAATGGGGCAAAACTCACTTGTTCAGTGATGGAAATTGTGGGCTCCATTGTGGTTATAAGTCGAGAACTATTTATGATGCAGATAAGGGAATAAATTAGCGATCATTTGCTTCCTTCAGAATCGCCACCCCTTAAAAAAAAAATCGCAGCATGGGTGAGGCCGCGAGAGAGCCAGTGTCCAACCCACAACTCTTCTCAATGGGTTGTCAAAGGAAAAAGAAGTGAAGGAAATGACACGCACGCGGGAGAGACTCCATTACAGCAAGTCACATTCACGGGGCAATGATCTTGGACGAAAGCCAGTTTTGTCTTGGTGACATCAAGCCTTAACTTGCTGATGGATTGCAGCCAAAACCTACATCCCTTTTGTTCCTGAAATGGTTGTAACTCTCTAGTTCAGTTATACAACACCCGCAACCCCTCAGTTCACACACATATAGAGACGAGCCTTGTAGGTTTCACTGCTTGTCTGCAGAATTCTCTTCCCCAAACCTTGTATTGCTGTTCTTACTATATATTGGTGGATTAAATATTTTCCAGCTTCTGTGTAGCTTTTCTTACACCGTTGGCTAGCCAGACTCCTTGCTGTGACCTTCCTTCTCCCTTCCCCCTCCTATAGCTGATCCTGTACATGGAAAATATGAGTCAGATTGTCCTACCTACTCGCCAACTGGCTGGAGGGACCCAAGTTTCACACCTGTGCTTACTAAGGCTAACCTCTTGCCCAACATTGCTTCACCCCCCGGGTTACCAAACACGCTGCATACAACATCAGCCCTGTGCAATTACTAAGTTTCTAAATTAGCAGCAGAGAGTGCAATCTGCTATTTCAGCAAGTGATTCAGTTTATCAGAGGCAGCCAACCCAACTGTTTCCCTGCAAGGGGTTGCTGTTTTTTTAGGTCAACGTGTACTTTCTGATAGATTGCCCTCGTCCCCAGGCCCGCTGCTTGCCAAGGGGCCATTGTTTTGCTACAGGCTTTCAACCTTGACTTTGACGGACTGATTCGCACATGCCTGTTCACCCCTTGTTGAGCACCCCAAGGCTCAAAGTTATGAAGTCACCTTAACGAAAACACTAAGCAGGGGAACAGCTCAGAAGCTTAATCTATGGTGCAGAAACCCAGCCACCATCTCACCGCGAGTGCTTTCATTCAGCAATCTCTTTGTCCCAATTGTCACTTATATGTGTCAAAGCAGGACATTTAACAGAACAGCCTGATTTTCACAAAACATGTCCCAAAGGTGCTTTTCCCAGAAGGCGTCAATGAAGCTTCTTGGATGAGAAGTGGAAATGTTTTCCAAGAAAAAAAAAAAACCAAGAAAGTCCAGTTGCCTTTTGGAAAAAGCAGACTGCTTACAGCTCCTTCCTTTCACTTTGCCAGCTTTTTCCTCCATGTTCTTAGCAATTATGAATCCTGGTGGTACAGTGGTTAGAATGCAGCATTGCAGGCTGACTCTGCCCACTGCCAGAAGTTCGATCCTGACCGCTCAAGGTTGACTCAGCTTGCTATCCTTTCGAGGTCAATAACATGAGGACCCAGATTGTTGGGGGATAATATGCTGGCTCTGTAAACTGCTTAGAGAGGGCTGTAAAAGCACTATGAAGTGGTATATACATTTAAGTGCTCTTGCTAATTATTTGTAGCTCCTCTTGGCCTATATATATATACCAAACTTGGGGCAATGCATCTGATCTCCTACTTTCTTACTTGTCATGTAAAAGCTGGACTACATGTTTCATAAAAAGGCAGAGATAATCCAAATCCACCTCTCAAACTTTCTATCTCAGCAACCTCAACTTCCAACTTGCAAGAAAAACTAAAATAGATTTACACCTCCACCTCCACCAATATAATGGTTTACTAAATTCAAAAGCTTCTCTTCGTCAATTCAGCAACCATTGTTTCCAATTCCAGTTTCATAGCCATCCCCCTCTTAAGACTCTCCTTAACAAGTGATTCTATCCCACTGCTTTTCAGAAGTACTAATCTACAGCAGGATCTATGAACCCCCCCCCAAAAAAAAAAACCCAAAAAAGGTTTGGGACTAAGAGAGAGAGAGACAGAGGAATTAAATGCAATAAGAAGACATAATCTCCCCTTAGGAGAAAAAAAAATGCTATTTACCAGATAGACATAGAGTCTCCAGGCCATAGTGAGGTGGAACCCCTAGCAGATTGAAGAATTCAGAATTATGCTGGGAATAATTTGTTCCTTAATGTAACACAGAATAATCAGCTGCTCCTTCACGCAAACCAAAAAACACTGAAATTAAACACCAAAGGCTTTAAGAGCATGCATACGCATCCAGGGAGAATTAACTGCACAATCCCTAGCATTCACAAGCAACTATGCTTGATCACTTCAAAGTAATGTATGGATTGCAGCAGTCATGCGTGAAATTGCTTCGGATGCCAAAAGCAGGACTCCCACCAAGTTCAAATAGGCTGCTTTTTTCCTACCTATTCTGGGCCTGCCGACACACGACCCAACTACAGTTATCTTCAAAGAGATGATCTCAAAAGTTTTACCTTCCATCTCTTCTGCCCTCAGCGCTCTTTCTTGAAGAGGGTCCTACAGTTTATCTCCGGAGGAGGGCAAAGAAAAGTAACCTTGCATTGTTGGCACATTTGTGAGGTTGGGTGGCGGGGCGCAGTATGCAACGAGCCTCTAAAATACATCCATTAAAACTTCACAACATTTTCTCTCCCCTTTCCCCTCAGGACCAAGATCCAAAGGACCACCCAATCCTTTCAAGACACCCATCCAAGACAGCCAGTAAACTGGGTCAGCTCACAACTAAAACATCACAAACTGTGATTAACACAAACTACACGATTAGTTCTCTAAAAATACAATACTGGGGGTAGGAGGGAGATGGGGCCAAGCTGTGTATCATAGGCTGCATCGACTTGCAACCATTTGTTTAGTGACCTTCAAAGTTACAACAGCACTGAAAAAATGAGTTGTGACAGTTGGCCACAGTTATCACTGTTGCAGCCTTTCCCATAGTCATGTGATCGAAATTCGGATGCTTGGCAACTGACTCATATTTATGACACTCGCAATGTCCCAGGGTCACGCGATCACCTTTTGCGACCTTCTGACAAGCAAAGTCAATGGGGAAGCCAGATTCACTTAACAACCGTGTTACTAGCTCAACAACTGCAGCGATTCACTTAACCATTGGGGCAAGAAGGGTTGTAAAATGTGGCAAAACCCACTTAACAACTGCCTCATTTAGCAACAGAAAATTTGGTCGTAAGTTGAGGACTATCTGTATTAAAACCTGACCCCAAATGGTCAACACTATTCCTTCTGCATCAAACCAAGGTGGCATGTAGGCCTTCAAGTCTCAAGGTAGCCAAGGTGGTTTTGGGGCCTTCAAGTCTCAAAGACTTTATTGAACAATAGGGCACACAAATTGGTTGTACAATTGCAGACTCATTCCTTCCCATTGTGCCACTGATCGCATCCAGTTTTTGCATTCCTGGCTAAGCCTGTAACCTCTCTCCTCTCTGCAGCTTCTATTCTCCCAACCCTTCAATTCATGACAGGTTCTTTATGTAATTCCCATTTGCCGTCAATGCCCAAATACAATTCATTTAAATGTGTGACACTTGAAAGTACATCAATCTTTAATTCATGTCTACTCCGCCGCACACCTAACCTTGTAATCTAAGTCAAACCGCATGGAACAAAGTCATTCATAGACCAGTTATGCTAGTTTTTTTTTTTTAAAAAAAAAAACTTGTTTGGATGGAAGCCAATTAACCATTGGGTTATTCAGCTCAATCAAGATGAAGCATTTTGGATGTCAAACAGCTCAGCCCCCACCCTCATGACTGGAGCCAGAGTATATTAGTCGAAATTAAGTTATACCACTTAACAATCAGAATCCTGTCCCTGTTCTGTATACTGAATTTATTTGTTTGCAAATACGGCAACTAACAATCTGCAGCACGCATGGTATGCTGTGTACAAATGAGCCTCAGTGAAAAAAGCTTGACATTCAAACATCCGGCAAGGATTAACCTAGTCATGTGTGCTCCGGCTGAGAAGCCAGGATCTGGCACCAAATTGCCAGCTCACAACTCTGGGATAAACAGGCTTCTGTTAGTACACCATCTTGGGCATGTATTTATTTGCTCCAATAACAATATAGATTTTTTTTTAAAAAAAAAAAGCACAAAAATGACCTTAAGAGGTTGAAAGAACTGCAATTTAAACAAACAAACACACATGCTCCTCTAAGGAACCTTTTGTGATTTCTCTAGGAAAGGAATATTAAGTGATATTTGTGGAGGAAGAAAAAATGTAGAGGTAAGAAAGCTGTCTAATAAAAAACAGCACCATTAGGGTTCAAGGTCTAAAGCAGGGGTAGTCAACCTTGGCTCTTTTATGACTCGTGGACTTCAATTCCCAGAATTCCTGAGCCAGCTTAGCTGGCTCAGGAATTCTGGGAGTTGAAGTCCACGAGTCATAAAAGAGCCAAGGTTGACTACCCCTGGTCTAAAAGAGTAGCCCAAGGAGGTCAGGAACAGAGAAACCATGTCAGGTTTCAAAAATTATTGGTGCTATGCCTACATGGTCACCATTCAAAATTCTGCGTTTCACTACACCAGCGTGGACCTCAACTCCCAGAATTCCCCAAGAGTGATCAATCATCCCAGACATAGCTGCTGGCTTAATGGAAGAGGCAAAATCTCCATTACAGGAAATCTTTGACTTACGACTGGTGGCTTAGAGACCGTTCCAAGTTATGTCAGACCTCCCCCCCACAAAGCTACTCAGATTCAAAGTATTGATGCCTCCCCTTGCAATGACACAATCGGTCAGCTGCATTTATAGCTGTTTGCAACATCCCATGGTCATATGACCGTAATTTACTTTTTTTTTTTCCGGAAACCGGAATGTATATCTAATTTCCAGCAACAAAACACACACTGGGAGCAACGGATTCACTTAAAGAATGCTTAATGGCAGCCACAAAAATGTCAAAAGCTTGGGGTCAGTTATGTGAGTGTCTCGATTTACGACCCTCGTAACATACAACAGCAATTCTGAGCTTCATTTTACTCATAGGTCAAGGACTACCTGTATATAATTGTTGTCTACTTGTTCATCCTGTTCTGCTGATCTAACGAGGTAGGCAGATTGTGTTACATTTGGGACATTATTTTATGGCTGCTCTTTGTTGTAGGGCTGAAGGCTTTATCTTCCTTGACCTTACAACCACCCAATGAGTAATCCACAACTCCTATTACTAGTTTTATAGCAGTAATGATGCATTAGGAGGGGGAGTAAAGGCACCCAAGTCAGCCTTATGCCCTGTCCTTGGCCTGGAGGGTGCCAGCAAACCAAGGTGTCAGTGCTTCTTGTTAGACAGGAAGCAGGCTATGCTGGCTGGGGAATTCTGGGAGTTGAAGTCCACACATCTTCAAGTTGCCACAGCTGAGAAACACTGCACTTATACATTCTTCAGTGTCATAGTTCTTTGGATCCCAGCCAGAAGTGAGGCAGATGTTTATATAACACCACTCACTCAGTAGCATGGCAAAAATGTTGGGCTTGAATGAGAAAAGGGAAGGTCACATTTTGTGCCTGGGATGAGCATTGTCACTTGAATGTGTTTGCCTATCTGCCCTTCCCAACAGCATTGAGGGTATAATTTCACAGGCTATCACCAGAATCATTGTGGCTTATTGCACATTATGGTAGGTATTCTCGGATATTATTCCCTACAGAAAGGACAAAAGCACTAGTTTCCCCAGACTGGATCACCATCTTTTCCTCATTCTAAAGAGATCTATTTGATACAGAGAACTGCTATAGGATTCACAGCAGGGGTAAGCAACTGGCTGTCCGTGGGCCAAACCTGGCCTAGTCATCGAAACCAGAAAACTGAAGGCTATAAGTTAAGCATTAGAAGTGGCAATTGGGAACATGTGTCTCAGGATCCTCTTTGGAGAGAGATCTGAAAGCGAACCATCACACGGGCCCGACAGCTCACCTTTCTTCATTAGAAAACACAAATTTCCTGAGTTTGAGGTCCCCCAGCACAATGGCCGACTGATGGCAGTGAGCGACTGCAGAGACAATCTGTTTGAACAGTCTAGCAGCTTCCTGCTCCGGCAGACGCTTGCAGCTCCTAACGTAGGAATGCATGTCACCAAAGTCCTTGTCAAAAAAGACGTACGCCTTTGTGTCTCCGAGGATGACCTCCACAATCCCAGTGATGTTTCTGTGTGATGGTAACTGGATGTAAGGCCTGATTTTGTCCTGGTAGTGTTTGAGAGGGAAGACCTAGAGAGAGGACCAAGTGGGGGGAGGGAGAAAGGGGGGGGGGGGAAAAAGAGAGAGAGATTAAATAAGACTTTATTGGAGAATACAAGCAGCAGAATAGATTCTCTTGATGGATCCTGATCAAAAATATGTGCGGCTATGGCAGTGGTTCTCAACCTTTTTAATGCCGTGACCCCCAACCGGTCGTAAGTCGAGGACTAAACCGGTCGTAAGTCGAGGACTACCCAACCGGTCGTAAGTCGAGGACTTTCCCTGCCCGGGAGCGCCGCGCATGCATGGTTTCGCCCCCTGCGCCAGCCGAGGCGTAGCTGGCAAGCGGCAGAGATGGAGCAGGCCGACCACCAGCTGGCCCAGCCCGAGGGAGGTAAGGCACCCGCCGGAAAAGGGGAAAAAAATGGCGGACAGCCTTGCTTGGCGACCCCCGTGAAATGGTCGATCGACCCCAAATGGGGTCGCGACCCATAGGTTGAGAACCGCTGGGCTATGGGGTCCTTGGTGCTCTCCGAGCTTGGTTGTTTTCTTGCAGACATTTTATTATCCAATGAGATAACATCCTCAGGATTTTGTTAGAAACCCCTCTCCCTTCTAGCACTGATGATGTTACCTAGAGAGCACCAAGAACCCATGAGTTTTAACCCATAGTTACAAATATTCTCCTCTATTAGTACATCTACAATCATTAAACCCTTATTAGTAAATTGGGATCCCTCCGTTAAATCACCCATCAAGGAGGAGATAGCAGAAACTGCCACCCTGAAGAAGGCTGCTATGGTCCCCAACAGAGCAGCATGGAAAAAGAGAAGCAATCAAGCTTCTGGAAGAATTACACACACTTCCTGGAATGTGCAACTGAAATAAGATGCGTTACATTTCTGTGCAAAAATACTTAGATGAGGAAGGGGAACTCATTTTGGGAAGATGATGGAATAACAATGGCTGAAAGAGAGGGTGGCAATTTGGTCACCTCCCAAAGTGTTGAACTATGATCTCCATCATGTCCAAGACTTGCCTGGTGTCTTGGGATGCTAGGTTTTGGAATAGACCATCTTCTAGAGCAGGGGTTCCCAACAGGGGGGTGCTCACACCCCCTGGGGGTGCGAGACGATATTCCAGGGGGTGCGAAAACTTGGGTTTAGAAATTTCAAAATGATAAGTGTATATGCATAATTCGTTTTGAATGTTTGTAAGGGGTGCGAGAATATATCAGAAGCGTTCTAGGGGTGCAGGGTATAGAAAAGATTGGGAACCCCTGTTCTGGAGGTACACATGGCTTTTCCTGAGCTAGAGAGAACCTCTGCTGGCAGAAATTCTGGCATTGAACACCTAGCATAGAGAGCAGAGAACGTCTTAGTGCCCCAACAGGAACAAGAAGTATTCAGCTAACAGGCTGCTGAAAACACAGTACCAAATAAATCATACCCTGATCTAATCTGGCAAAGCAGCTCTGGTGTACTGTATTGTCCTGGGTACATCTCTCCAGACACCGCTTAAACATCGCACCTTTTTTACGCTATAGAAACTTGTGATATCTGCAATTCCTGCTTTTTTGCACTTGGGGAAGAAAAACGACAGCCCTGAATCCGAGCAGACTTTGCACACGTGTTTGTAAAGGTTGGCCAGCAATTCCCTATCAGCATGTATGTACAGTAATGCCCCCCCCCCTTCTCCAGAGTGTGAAGGGAAACTGAAGGGGAGATATGTGGGGAGGGAAGAGAGCTATTAAAAGCCATCAAAGCAATTGCCTAGCAGTGAGTCAAACAAAGACAACCGAACCGAAATTTTAAAGCACAGCAAAGATTTAAGGCAAGGAAGAAGAGGATTAAAGCCTCTCATACTTTATTCACAGATATTTTGCAAGACTGCAGTCATGTTCTGGGACCTGCGAAGAGCTTACTCACATCCTAAGCCAAGCTGGAAACGGTGACTCTTTCGACTTGGCACACACTCCCCGAGAGAAAATATATTGCAAAGGGTCTCCAAACAATCACACACAGCCACTTCTTCCTGGCTACTTTCTCTCCAGATTAGCACAGGGCCATCAACAAAATCCTCTTCCCTGTCAGAACTAGTCCCCTTATACAGCTAAAGTCATGCTAGGCTACACCAGCCTCGTTGCAAGCCCAGCGGAGGTTAAAAATAAATACTTCAAGAGGATGAGACTATTTTCCTGACTTGGAAAAGAGCAGTTCTCACCACAGATCATTGTTGAAGAAGGGTTTGCAAGCCAGAACAGACAAGCCCAATGAAGGGAATGTAGGGACAGCTAGCAACACGTGGTTCCACTGCATTGGCCCCAGACTCTGACTCCAAGTTAAAAACAAACAAACAAAAAAATTCTACCCACCTACTTATGTTCCTTTTCTTCTCCTTTCTCTATAATAATAATAATAATAATAATAATTTAATTTATATACCGCCCTTCTCCCATAGGACTCAGGGCGGTTCACAGCATATTTAAAAACAGATACTATACACAAATACAAAAATACAAAAACACAAAAATATAAACCCCAATAAAAACCGAATTAAAAACCAAATATTGACGGCTGTGTTTCCAATTAAAATGATTATCTGCACTATGTTACAATGTAGATTGTAAGGGGTATCAGGGAAGTCCATCTGGCAACCTAAGAGATTAACCAGAGGCACGCTGGCTAGTAACTATATTTTACAGAGGAGCATGCAACTTCAAACGGGGCTTAACTACATTTAGGCTGTTTCTAAAAGCAGGAGAAAAGCAGAAGGTTACAAGCAGGGGGTCAATGATCAAAAGGCTCTGTAGAGCAGTGTTTCCCAGCCTTGGCAACTTTTAAGATGTGCGGACTTCAACTCCCAGAATGCCCCAGCAAGCATGCTTAACTTTGATAACTATTCAGATGGGTAGGCTGGCTGGGGAATTCTGGGAGCTGAACTCCACATATCTTAGTTGTCAAAGCCGGGAAACACCGCTCTAGAGCAGGGATCTCCAAACTCGGCAACTTTTAAGACTTGTGGACTTTAACTTCCAGAATGAAGAGAAGGACGAGGGGGGACATGATAGCAGTGTTCCAATATCTCAGGGGTTGCCATAGAGAAGAGGGAGTCAAGCTATTTTCCAAAGCGCCTGAAGGCAGGACAAGAAGCAACGGGTGGAAACTAATCAAGGAGAGAAGCAGCCTAGAACTAAGGAGAAACTTCCTGACAGTGAGAACAATTAACCAGTGGAACAACCTACCTCCAGAAGCGGTGAATGCTCCAACACTGGAAGTCTTTAAGAAGAGACTGGACAGCCATTTGTCCGAAATGGTATAGGGTTTCCTGCCTGAGCAGGGGGTTGGACTAGATGACCTTCAAGGTCCCTTCCAACTTTACTATTATTATTATTATTATTATTATTATTATTATTATTATTATTATTATTATTATTATTGTTGTTGTTGTTGTTGTTGTTGTTGTTGTTGTTGTTGTTGTTATATTAATTCCCCAGCCAGTCCACATATCTTAAGTTAAGCTTGCTGGCTGGGGATTCTGGGAATTGAAGTGCACAAGTCTTAAAAGTTGCGGAGTTTGGGGACTCCTGCGCCAGAGAGTGTCAATTATTTGGCAGCAGGTTGCCCGTTTTTGATTTTAACGCACGTTCTCCTGCCATCACCGGAGTTCCACCCTGTATTTTGAAACTCTGGAGCAGCCCCATTTGTTTCCAATGGTTCTGTGCAGAAGAGCAAGCGGAGAGCCGGGATTGCCCGGACAGGCGGCCGGCAGGTGGCAGCAGGAAAATTCACGGCTGCAGCGCCGGCCTCCTCTCTCTCGGCAAGGGGAGAAGCCGAGAGGGAGGCACAGTGCGCGTTTTATTTAAAGAGCTGAGGACACCTCATGGAAAACTTGGAAAGCTCTCGGCTGGTAGTGGCAGTCAATTCCTGCTTGCGTACTAGGCTGCAGGAGGGGAGCNCTCCGGCAGACGCTTGCAGCTCCTAACGTAGGAATGCATGTCACCAAAGTCCTTGTCAAAAAAGACGTACGCCTTTGTGTCTCCGAGGATGACCTCCACAATCCCAGTGATGTTTCTGTGTGATGGTAACTGGATGTAAGGCCTGATTTTGTCCTGGTAGTGTTTGAGAGGGAAGACCTAGAGAGAGGACCAAGTGGGGAGGGAGAAAGAGGGGGAAAAAAAGAGAGAGAGATTAAATAAGACTTTATTGGAGAATACAAGCAGCAGAATAGATTCTCTTGATGGATCCTGATCAAAAATATGTGCGGCTATGGCAGTGGTTCTCAACCTTTTTAATGCCATGACCCCCAACCGGTGGTAAGTCGAGGACTAAACCAGTCGTAAGTCGAGGACTACCCAACCGGTCGTAAGTCGAGGACTTTCCCTGCCTGGGAGCGCTGCGCATGCATGGTTCCGCCCCCTGCGCCGGCCGAGGCGTAGCTGGCAAGCGGCAGAGACGGAGCAGGCCGACCACCAGCTGGCCCAGCCCAAGGGAGGTAAGGCACCCGCCAGAAAAGGGGGAAAAAATGGCAGACAGCCTTGCTTGGCGACCCCCGTGAAATGGTCGATCGACCCCAAATGGGGTCGCGACCCATAGGTTGAGAACCGCTGGGCTATGGGGTCCTTGGTGCTCTCCGAGCTTGGTTGTTTTCTTGCAGACATTTTATTATCCAACGAGATAACATCCTCAGGATTTTATTAGAAACCCCACTCCCTTCTAGCACTGATGATGTTACCTAGAGGGCACCAAGAACCCATGAGTTTTAACCCATAGTTACAAATATTCTCCTCTATTCGTACATCTACAATCATTAAACCCTTATTAGTAAATTGGGATCCCTCCGTTAAATCTCCCATCAAGGAGGAGATAGCAGAAACTGCCACCCTGAAGAAGGCTGCTGTGGTCCCC